ACTTTCATTTTCACATAATACTTCAATAAAATTACACAACAATATCATCATAGTTGAGGTTCTGAAACGAAACTGGTACAAAAAAAAGGTTGCATGATCACGCTGCCATATGTAACTCCTTATATTCATTATAACATATCATATTATAAGGGCATCACTGCAAGAAACTTTCACAGGATCCATTCGATATTGCATTTTTTTAAAAATCCAAACAAACAATAATACTCTGTATTTTTTATTTTTATTTGATGTTTACCAATGCAGCTAACTGTTAATAAATGGAACCTTACTGTAAAGTGTTACCAGTTAAGAAAATTACATTTGCCAGCCAAAAACAGGTTTCACAATGTTTCTCAATCAACAGAGAAATTAGATATACCAAGAGGAAATGCACTTACTGAATATAAAAAAGATATCATGATAATATCATTATAATTCAGTTCCGTGCTGCTGTCAGAAGAAGTGCCATTAGCAGTAAGTGTTTAGTAGTGGATACTGAGTAAGAGAGTAGTCAACTCGGAGTGGTTTGAGGTTTTTTAGTCTTCCTTCCTGCTGCGCTCAAGAAGGTCAGTTCAGAGGAAGTGAGATTCAGTCACTTGCTGTTTTTTCGGTAGCTGATCAGAACAGGTTCTGTACCCTAAAACATCCGTTAAGATGGCAGGATTGTTTAGGATCTGGATATTTATGGTTCTCCTCTTGGGATTGATAGATCCATCTCAGGCCTCTCTGCGTCCTCGCATGTCATTCTCTCAGGGTAAGTGAAGCTCGGATTGAAAGATGATAGCGAGACATATTCTACTGGTGCAAAAACTCACACTTACAGCGATTGTCAGATGTGCATCTTGAGGGCAAAGGATATTAGTCATTTGTAACCACATTTCCGTCAGAATGTGTTTCCATATGAATAATTGAGAAATTAATTGTTATAAAGTAGTTTGGTCCTCTGACTTCTATGCAAATACAAAAAAAATCAGCTCAACTTTGGTACAAGAAAATAATTCAGTATGTTTTATTCATGAATCACAAGCAAAATCTTCGCATTTGATTCACAGTAAATTTAAACTCATTTCATAAATATGACCCATGTTCAGATGACCAAATAGCACAGTCATGTTGGGCAAACACACATTCTGTGTAAGTTTTGTAATCTTTCTTCTCTAAACGTGTGAGTTGTGGCTTTGTTTGTTTTTATCCATTACTGTTGTTCTGCAAATGCTTGATGGTCTAAATGCTGCTCGCTTGAAACCACCGCTGACTGATTATCTGCACTACACTCTCAAAGGCCTGCTGCTGCAGAGAAGCATGTCTTAAGACTGTGGTTAGTTTTTGCTTTAGAGTATATCAGACATCAGTGAGGACAATTAGAT